GTCAACTGTAGGCAATTATTTGCAGCCTAAATGTTACATAGTGTATGGTGTAAATGCTGAGTCAATGATGGCCTGCTGTTTGAGTTGGTGTTGAAAAATTAGTGTGTAGTAACCTAATTTTCCGACCCAGATTCATAGTCAGTCACGAGGGATCAGATTTATGTGTTGATTCACAGCTTGGAGAAAGATAATATTGCACTTTTTTTTTTTTTTTGTTTAATAGCTGCTGCATCTTTCAGCAGCATCTCCAGTTTCAGCTGGCTACAGTCCTAGAAGTAGACAAACAAGTGCTGGATGATTATCCGCTCCAGTGTTAAGTACAAATTGCCCAGACTGAGCTCCTCAAAGGACTTGCTGAAGCACATCAGGTACACTCACTCTCCTGTTGGCTGCTATAACTGGCACGGACAACCTTCTACATGCACAAATAAAAGCAAATAAAGAGCCCGTGAAAGACAAGCAAACACACAGGGTTGTTATCATGAAACTGTCCTTGCATGATAAGTGTAGAGCCTGATTCAGTGGATTCTGTTTCACCTGCATGACAATAACAAGGACAGGTGGCCTGAGCAGACCAAAGTCATATTTGATGTCCAACATCAGACTACTTACACCTGAGGAGTGTGACATCATGATGACTCTAAGCTGATAACCCGGCAACAAACCAGGGGTTGTTGTGAGCATAAAGGATTAGCCCTGAGTTTGCTTTCGCTGCTCTTTGAACCAGAAAACTCTGAAAAAGAAAAGGATCTCACATGAAAGGAGCAAGCTGCTGAGAAAGCACTGAATTGGGGGGCACTTCTTTCATCAAAGAGTTCTGAGTCACTTCAAGAGCAGGAAAATCTTTCGAATGCCTATTGACGGGAGGCGTTCATGTTTCTTTGCAGGTGACAGTTTTGTGTACGTGGGTTGGGTTGGGGTGGTGGTGGTGGTGGGGGGGGGAGCGGGGGGTCTTTTTTTTCTGTGTATGCCATGTCTGTCTGGCATATCAGGTAAGGGCTCTGTCTCCTTCCTACATTGTTTGTGGATAATGAGGTGTGATTAAATATGAATGCAAAGTGTTTGGTGGCTGGAGCCCAAAGCTGAAACTGGATCCAGTATGGTCTACAGGCAGCATAATTAGTAGCTGCTGATAGACGCCTTTAATGGTGCTTTTCCACACAATGCTCGCAGGCCTCTAAGCTGGACCTCCACACTGCAGCAGCATGCCGTCCGCCTTTGAGCCATGCCATGTTAATTAAACGGGAAATAAATAGATCCTGCATCAGATTTGCTGTTTCTGTGCTGTTCTGATTAGAATCAGCTTCATTTAAAAATGTTTAATGATAAACTGTGATTAAATTAAAGTCTTTTATTTCATTTTTTAAAACCTCGCTTTTGTAATTACCTCCGGGGATTTACTGTTGAAAGCATGACGAAAAATCCTGAAGAAAACAATATCAGCATTTCAAAGCACTGAAGGGCCAGTGTGATGCCTTTAATGGTGAAAAAAAGAAGGAGCCCTTTGTGCCCCACGTTGAAGGGCTGTGTTTGGTTTTGAGGTTCTCTGTGGATTGTCACAGCCCTGGTGTGAGATTGACTCATTCATTCTTCCAGTCTTCATCCTCTTCTTCTCTGCAGCATAGGCTGTGTGGACACCGCTGTGCCGCATCACTTCAGAGAGGCAGAGACGGAGTCATGTCCACAGCTGTTAGGACATGCCGGCTTTGAGGTGCCGGGGCTTTAATGTGCAGATCAAACACGGTGGCTTTGTGAAGCAGGATAACTGGTCAGCTCTCCCACACAGTTCTCCAATCTTATCGACTGTGTGCATGTTTGTGTTTGAGAGTTATCCGCCACACACACACACACACACACACACACACACACGCACACATGCACACACTCATACTCCTCCAAAGAGTGAGCAGAGCAGCTTGACACTTCAGATAGTCTCATTAAGTGAAGCCCAGAGTTTCCGAGACTCCTGCTCACAAGTTGCCGTCGGGCAAAATATTGGCGAGACGTGAAGACGTGGCTTCTTGCTTTTCAATTGATTCTTTTCGCTTGGCATGATGAAAGCATCACCTGCAGTCTGATAACCGCTGGACTTCAGCTACATTGTATCATGCAGAGCTTTGTTGCAACGCCTGCAGTGAAGATCAAATAGGGGGCGGTTCAGGAAAGGGTCAGTGTATGTAGAGCGGTTACACATGCCACAACAGTTTTAGTTTTCCTCTCTTCCCACAGATGAGAGAGCCTCTATGAGCTGGGATTAAAGGAGGGAATGACATAAACATGTTCATGCTGCAGACTGTGAACAGACATGTTAGCCTGTGCTTGGCATCATACGGTCATCACAGGGGTCAGCTGACATGGATGCACAGGTTAAACCACCCACAAAGCAAGAATAAATGATTGTCTTAACAGGATATTTGGGAAATGAAAGATGTCATCTTTGCCATGCCTACATTGAATGCCCAAAACCAAACATGGCTAATATTACACAATATATTTTGTATTTATTTATTTACGCCACAGTACTGATAGTGATGAAGCCTCATGTTATCATCCTCTCTCAGAGATGTATTGTTTATGGTTGGTTGACAACAATAGAGCTTTATTGCACAGAGGATTAAGATGTACCAGGCTTTGGTTACAATCCTTTTTCCTGTTATTTTTTAGTCTTTAAACAGGATTTGTTCACTCAAGTAAAAATATCACCAGCATTTTGCTTTGCCGGAATTATCCCAGTGATGGCATCTTCCATAATCATGCACACTATTGGAAACACACACAAAAAAAAAGTGGGCTGGTCTTTACAGTAAGTAAAGTAATGATGTAATGACCCGACCTCATTCACCACATTTGATTTTTTTTTTTTTACACCAAACACATTTGGCAGCTTCTGTCTCTATTCCTCTTGAGACTGAGCTTTGTTAAGTGTGGAACAATCCCCCGCAACAACAACAAAGAGCTTTGTAACTGAGTCACTTTGAGAGTGTGAGGATTGGCTGGTAGTCTACAGCCAGACGGGATGTATGATTACCAGACAGTCTTTACAAAGGGGGCCATTTGCTGCGGCGCTCTCAGTTACGGCGGACAGATCGGGTGTCGATGCTTCATAACCGGCCTCACCTTCACAATTTCTAAAAGAAGCCGGGATGGAGCCTGGGATCCACTTCTCTACACCTGCTGCATTATTCACCCTGTCTTCACCGGGGAGCGGCTATAATGGCTTAAAGACTGACAGACAAATAAACACACTTTCACCTGTGTTATAGCTCTTCATTTAACTGTCATTTCTGACTGTTGTATATCCTTAAATATATAATGATATGCCTCATGAAACAACAGGTAGACGGGGCTGCAAGTGATGAGAATTCCAACTCTTTTCAGAGAGATTATTAGGCTCAGCTCAGTAATGTCTCCTTAACGACTTTTCATTTAGTACGACTTCTAAATCTCTTAATTCGGTAAAATGTAGCTATGCTTTGACCCAAGATTATTTTGTGTGCACATATATCACATAAAAAATTTTGTTAAAATTACACCAAGCCTTTTAATTCCAGAGTCCCTTACTTTAAAATTGCGTTTGAGATATAAAGATTAAAAATCATGTACCAAATAAAAAAAACGGTTAAATATATTACAAATTATGATGTTTTATCCCACTATTAATGAATATGCTATGGTCTTCATTTCTAATACATAGAAATATCATTAGAATCTATATCATTAGAAATCCTTATAACACAAAAACACAACTTATCATTGTGGTTGAATAAAATATTATTTTCAGCCATGTAGTTAATTTAATTTGCATGATATAATATAAAACTTTGTTTTACTCTGAAATGTTATCTGTACATCGCCATGCATTTTAATGATATGATCCGACTTGAATTATGCAATTTTTTTCAATTGACCAAATAAATAAAAGTTAGACATCTGTTACTGGGGCAGGAGCCTGTGTACATGGTTCCTTTAAGGGAGCATTTTAAGATGCATTTAAACAGGCTGTTTCTGCATATCTGGCTTATAATGCTAGCCGACGATACCTCTAGTTATTTGAACATGTTGAGGTAACAGTCAGATATTGCATACACTTCTCCTGGTCACTTGATTCTAAAAGAAACAGCAGATGACTTGGGGGATGATAAGAAAAAAACCTGAGGCTTGGTGGCTATTTCAAGCTGAAATAAACATGAAAAGTGACAGAGAAGCAAGCTCTGCTGTTATCACGTCACTGCTCCAGAATGATCTCTGCCGTTGGGTCAGTGTGCCGCATATTCCTCATCTAACTGGCTCGCTGACAGGACTCAGTTGCCATGGAATATGTCCAGTTGGAACAAATTAAATCCCTCTTTTCCAGTTTCCAGGCAGGATTCAGACACGAGAATGTTTTGATGGTAGACCCACAGTACTGTATGTGTGAGTGTGTGTTTATATTAAAGATGTGTGTGCACGTGTAATAAGAAAATGAGATATCAAGAGGGAGGCTTTTGAGGTTACAGAGGAAGTAGGGCATGTGATTGTGCAGCCATGTGTGTTTGTGCACACATGCTTCTTCTGCAAGTGTGTGTGTGTGTGTGTGTGTGTGTGTGTGTGTGTGTGTGTGTGTGTGTGTGCGTGTGTGCGCATGCATCGCTCTCCAGAAACAGTTTTCTGATGTAACAGAATCTGATGCCCCCTTACTCTCTCCCAGGGTTCTCGGGCGTCTGTGGGAACTTGTTTATGAACACTTTAGCTGTTCACAATGCAAAAAGAAGTCATTGAATATGCTGTTTTTCACTGAAGACAGACGAAGAAACATAAGGAGATCTATGCCAGGCATTGCATTCTGTTAACGATTATTTCAGAGAGAGAGTGCGTTGATAAGGGAGTTTGGGGGGGGGGGGGGTACTTGAACAAGTCTTATATCAACACAAAGTAATAATGTACATTCTTATAGACATGGCTCAATTAGTTAAGTCAACAATGTGTTGTATTTATAATTGATGTTCCTATGTCGCGGTAAGAGGTACAGTGGATATATCCATATTCATTATTTATGTTATAGAGGCCTGTATGTATGTCCCACTGAGAGCTGCTTTATGGCCTCAATGATTTGTGTGTTTGCTCTCAAATGCTAATATCATAGACTAATGCATGCTAATAAATAACTCATGTTTGTTATCTTATGTAAACTGTAATCAATACAGTATACATGAGTTCTTCATTAATATTGTATCCCACTTGAACAGTCAAATGCTCAGTAGCAAATTAAAAATGTAATTTTTCCCAACTTTTATTACCTGCATTTGGAATACTTTGACGTCCTTAGCGTTTCTATGACAATGACCTGTACTTAAACAGATTCCTATACTGTCTCTTTAGTAATTACAGGGGTTTTCGTTATTGTCTCTTAAGTATGTGGGGTCTTTTTTGTTTGGCTGGGACACAAAAGGAAGCTGCAGCTAATGCTCTCACATCTTTGCACCCTTTTGTTGTTTACAGTGCTCACTCATGCAAGAGGAGATCAAATGTCCAAATATCACACTGAGTGAGGAAACCAATCCTCTCTTCCCCAGTGCATGCCAACCTCTTTTGGAGAGGCTGCAGGTGTGTGAAAAAAAAAAAACACAAGAGGTCCATCCAATTCAGGCAGGACAGAGGAGGCACGGACCCGTGACTTCTCACACTGCTCAGTGGTGGGACATGATCACAGCTGATGGACGCGGAGGAATAGAGAAGAGAAAGAGGAGTTGGGGGCAGGGTGAGGATGTGTGAGAGAATGCATAGGGTCCGCCTCAGCTGCAGCTGTCCAGGGGGTTTATTGATCGTTGATAGCCCAGAGGGGAGGATCACCAGTAACTGCCCTGCCCAACACATAAGAGCAAAGGACATAGTTAACTGTCAAATTTAAGAGGAAATATAATTATATCATTGATTTGATCTCTGAACTTTAAAAAATGTTTCTTAAATTGTTTTGCCATATATCTAACCAGAAACTGGCAAGATCTTAATCATATGTGCACCTGCAGTTGGCACAATGAGACTCTTAGACTCAATGAGATTTTTCTACCGACTGTATAGAGATGCTCATGCACTTTATACATGTGCGTTTCTCTCTGTATATTACTCCAGACCTCACTGCCTTGTTTTTTTCAACTGTTACAACAAACACCTCTCCTACGTTAAAGGTTATACTGATCAATATAAATATAGTTTATACACAGACAACAAATTTAGGTCACTTACACTTGTTATCGAGGTCAAAAGTGTTCATCATTTAACAGTTTTTTTGTTTATTCAAAACATATTGGTATGTTCAGACACTTAAAAGTAGGAATAGAACAATTACAGTTTGAAAAGTTTTAGAAAGGAATGGGAACTAGATCTAGATAGTAGTTTTTAATGGCTGTGTTAAAGCAGCAGGCTATGCTAATACACCTAATATAATATTTGATTATTGTTGCTTACTTGTGACCTGTATGTTGCTTTGAGTGTCTTACATTTTGTCATGAATGTCAATGTGCTTGTGCACCGTGCCAGCTGTCCGCTTTCTGGCCAGATGATAGCGTAAAAGCGGTCTCGTGCTATGGGGAATTTCCCGTCCACGTGTCTGAATACGCGCAGGAGGAGGCGGGACAAAAACAAAGCCGACGATTGGTTACAGCGGCGAAATGCAAATCACGCTTAAAGGGACGTGCGCCACCTCTGCTGGGATGCACTGAGTTTAGGACGACAGAAACACCCTTGTCCTTAAGGAGAGTTTATTTACTAACTTTCCAGACTTTGAACTCCACCCCCCTGATGGCGGAGTCAGTGTACAGCTGACGTCGGCGAAATGAAATCGGCTGGTTACACTTTTCCTCTCAGAATGGAAGTGGTCGTGGAGGTGAAACGGACTAACTCGCCTCACTTGCCTGGATATTGAACTCATTGTCCTTTTTTTTCTTCTTTCTTTTTCTGAGTACTATTACAAGAAAGTCAACCTTTGTGGTAAGTTAGACTCCTTTTAAAACATGTGTTTGTTCGGTCGGTACATTTGACAGACATGAGCGTGTCGGTGCGAGCTTTAATAGTGAAACAGTGGCGTCCTTTATGAAGAGGCAACAAAACAACGTGCTGATGATATTGTTACAAAAAGACTATAGCTTCAGCTGATTTGTTTCCTCATTTTTTTCTTCTTCTCGTAGCCTGCACTGCGCTTTGTAGATGCAGCAGAGCAGTCCAAAAGAAACCGGTTTCAGTGTTCCTCAGCCTGTCATTCATACAACACGTTCCCGGTTTACCAAGCCGCAGTCGGCGAATGGACTTCAGACTACACGACACTTGTTGTGGCAAGTGTGTTTCGTGTTTCAGTCTTTACGGGCGACAGCAGTAACCGAATATTTCAACAGAATAATAATATTTACGGATGTGAACGTGTTATTACACATTTTAGACGGTGTGGGTAGTCCTTCATCTTCAAATGTATCCTACAATCCCTGAATGATCTCCTCTGACGTAATTTAAGACATTTTGTCTCAATAAAATGCTTAGCCGGTAGATTATATATATGTTTTTTTTTTTTAATAATTAAAACGTCGCCTGACTTTGGCGCCACTTTGGGCTGCAGGAGGTTTTAATGTGCAAAATGTTATAAATAGTTAAATTGGGTGTTATGTGAGGCTAATTGCGCCGCTGGATTGAAACCGTGCTAAAAAAAAAAACACAGCTGCTCCAGCACCACCCCCATCTTTGCCTTTTGTTATTGTTATGTAGCTTTCAGCAGGGGGAGCCACTGTCTGACACAAACTACTGCTGCTGACTACCTGCTTCAGCTCTGCTTTCTGGGGGCTGAGCCAGTGTGTTTTTTTTTTTCTTCTTCTGATCCTTCCCATGTTCTTACTCTTTGTTTGTGAAACCAAAGCATTAAGTGGTTTCACAGACAGGCTATGAGCACACACAGTGTATAGTGAGGTCTGGGCATGCAAGGGACAGGCCAGTCTGCTTGAAGCTCTCTCTCTCTCTCTCTCTCTCTCTCTCTCTCTCAGGGAGCTGGCAGGCTGCGAGACCAGGGCAGGGAGAGCGGTTTAGGATTTTCTTAAAAGACTGTCATTACTCTCTGCTCTGGACCCTAATTTGGAAGTGTGGTAGTAGTCAAACCCTGCATTACAACTCAGTGGTGACTTGGGGATTTGCAAGTGAAGCAACTTGAATTTCACCCATATTTTCATAACTCCTTGACCCACTATATGATCCAGGGTTAAGTGGAGTGCATTACTGAAATGGAGCGAAACTTAAATCATTTGTCATCATGCCTTTTTTATTTCTCCTGTCATCTGGTAAGAATCAAATATTTATCTTAGTGTTGGTATCTACAATTGTTTGCATTAAAAGAACCTGATATTAGTATTATAAGTAAAGAGTCATGGGACAGTCATTTAATAAGCTGGGTTTCTGTCCACAAAGCTGCTTAGCACAGACTAGAAAGATTTTCATTGAACCCAGTTGGCCTAACTCCCCTTTATGTAAATGTGGCTCAACAGTCTCCTAACCACATGGCATTGTGTGGTTTCATCACTGAGATGAATAGAGCCATTTATCTAGATAAGCACTGAGCGCTCGATGACGGCAAACCGTTAACTCATTTTCTCTTTCAAACTTCTCCTGTGTGGTTTTATCGATTTGAGGGCACGCCTCATAAACCAGACAGGTTGTCTATAATGATAATGAAAGCATTGAATGTATTATGAATGTGTGTGAGATCATCTCATCAGGCCTAATGCAGACTTGTTCAAGGTCACTGTCCTTAATGAAGGAAACAAGGGATGACTTTGATTGATATTGTTCTATATTTAGCGGCCGCAAGTAACCTGTCTCTCTCTCTGTCCTGCTACCTTTAAGGCTGCTCATCTCAAAGTGCCCCCGCATGGACGATGAAGAGGATGATGTGTTCGAGCCGGACCCACACAGCTGGCGCACCTATTTTCAGGAGATAAAGTGTGAAGACCGGGGCACGCAGACACCTGGCCCGGCCCTGGCACCCAACAACGGCATGCTGCCCTGTGGAGTCGCAGAGGAGCCCAGACCACTCTTCTACGGTGAGACTGAAGAAATACCATGTTTCAGAAGAGAAAAGGGGAACATTAGCTTGTGTGCGATAACTGGTGCTATAAAACTGAGGCACGAAACTATAATGTGAGAAATGTTGCTGCACTGACCTCATGCCTGGCGCCTGATAGTCCTGATCACAGTGGCTTTTATGGTCTGTATGGAGTGTACCCAGCTGCTTTGCTGTTCAAAAGGCGCCAGACTGGCACTGTGAGTGAAAGGGCGTGAGAGATATGCTAACCTGTGTGCGTGACAGCAGAGCTACAAAAGTGTCATATACAAGAAATCATTCCAAAGTTGCTCTGAACAACTGATGTGAAAGTCTGTTTCATGTGAGATTGTTGTGGTGTCATGAGTTCAAATGAGTCATGGTATTAATGAAATGAAACAACTTGAAAAGTTGTTGTGAAAGCCACACATTCCGACAGGTTGTACCTTTGCATCATCATCCCAAATACAATCACAGTAAAATAAACAGACTGTCAGATGTCATTGCAGTATTTACATCATTATACCCTGTTGTTGACAAAATACTAAGTGTCAGTCTTTATACCCAACAGGCAACGCAGGTTTTCGATTACACTTCCCTGCAAACTTTGAGCTTGTTGGGGATCAGGAAGAGAGCGGACAAGAAAGCGAGCTGCAGCAAATTGGGATGGAGCAGCAGCAACCTGTTGCCCACAGTGTGGAGGCCAGCATCGGTCTGAAACTCCAACTCATAGGAGACCAGTTTCATCGGGAACACTTACAACTGGTGAGGAAGATATCATGCATCCTGCTAACCGTGCAGAGTCGAAACAAACACTTTGGCTTCTAGTTTTATGGCAGCAAACAAATCCATAGAATGCCCTGTATATGCCTTTCATGGAGTCTTGTGTGAGAGCAATCCTGATGAGTCCATTCTGAACAGCCGTCTGCCGAAACTGTGTTGGGCTTGGAAAGTGGGATAGAGGGAGATGCAGGGAGAAAGAGAAGGATAGAGACACACAGAGTAACAACAACAATAATGAATACGATAGATTTATAGCTACATTGTCAGTAATAGTAGTAAAAGTAGCAGCAGGCCGTGCACACCAACGATCCAGAAGAACCTATGAGACAAGGGAGCTCAGGAGCTTTTCCTCCCGTTATTTGAAAAGCCTCTTGTTGGCACAGCATAACTGGTTGTCCAAGCAAATGCACTAAAGCCTGGAGGATATACAAGTATACATATCATACTGATAATCTTACTGAGATACACACAAGATAAACACCCTATGTACCTGTCGGTTATTTGCACTGTAACAAAAGTAAAACATTTAAAAAGTACATTGTGTCTTGTTTAAGACAGATTGTGGACTTTAAAAGTCAGCTGTTTAAATTGGTCTTAAATAGAAAACACACATCTTATATTTGTTGAAGCTCTGCTCCAGATTAATCCCTAATTCGTCTGCTGTCAAACTAGACCTCATTGTGTTTGTGTGAGTCTTAATTGTGTTTATGTTGGGTTAGAGTGGTGGTTTTTAGAGTCAACGCAAAAAAAGGTGCAGTCTACACATGAACAACATCAGCAAATTATTTTTTTTTGAATTGATCTGTCAAAGATTTATGGTGGGACTAAAGTTGGCTCTTTTCACTGTGTATACTCCATATTTGTTTTGGAGAGGCTGTGCACATGCAGAATTAAGAGAGCCCAGTGTTTCACCCTCTGCAACCCCCCTTACCCTCAAGCCATGGACTCTGCTGAACCAGGGCAGCCCTTCCCCCCACCTCGCCAAGCCCAGGCCCTCCCCCTGCCTGCTCTTCCTGTTTATTTCTCTCTCTCTTTCCCCTGTTTCCCGAAGTGCGCTGTGGAAGCAAGTGGCAACAAGGATGCCTGGCTTCAAACAACACACTGCACAGTGTGGTCAGGGTGACACTGTGTGTGTGTGTGTGTGTGTGTGTGTGTGTGTGTGTGTGTGTGTGTGTGTGTGTGTGTGTGTGTGTGTGTGTGTGTGTGTGTGTGTGTGTGTGTGTGTGTGTGTGTGTGTGTGTGTGTGTGTGTGTGTGTGTGTGTGTGTGTGTGTGTGTGTGTGTGTGTGTGTGTGTGTGTGTGTGTCTGTGTCTGTGTTGAATATTGCTCTTTCATGTGTGGGTGTTGTACATCCGCTACACACTGTTTTTGTTTCACTGGCTGCAACATCAATAGATATGCATAAACTCTCACCAGACTTTCTTTATTTTCTGGACTCTTGAAGCGTTGCACAAACGCTTAACAGTCTCACACACACACATACCCACACACACATACTCATACATCCAGGGAAAAAAAGCAGAAGTGGCAGGAGAAGGTAAACATGGTAACCCGTGGTAACCCGAAACTTAGCGCGTGAGCCTCGAGGGGGACAGCTGCGGTTCCAGGGAGTCTCCAGTCAGCCCCTTCCCTCGGCCGCTGGAGACACCCAAATATGAGGTATACACAGCCAAAGGGGGGGGGGGGGCGGATCCTTAATGATGGTATAAGCATAAATATATGGGAAAGTGGTTTGGAAGTGAACCTCAAATGATAATGTAACGACCATTTGTAGCCCCTACCTACTTTTTGTGCAAGACAGTTTCAAATGTTCTCACACGCTTATCAAGTTGTGGTTATTTATACCCCTTCAGCTCAGAATGAGTCATGTTTTGTATCGCTGGTAAACGCGACACCGCCGACCAGACAGACAGACAAGAGGGTTTCTCTGATGAGTGTGAGTTTGGTGTTTGTGTGTGTGCGGCAGGGGTTTACTGACGCACAAGACAACGTGCCCGGGTCAGTGAAGAGAGGAAGTGGTTTTGCTTCTTTTTGCTGGTTGAGTAAACAGAAGAGAGAACAGTCAGTGTGAACGGCCCAGTGAGATCACACCCTGAAGCTAGAGGTGTCAGGACACAGAAACACACATTGTTATCGTAGCAGAATAGGAATAAAGATAAATATGTTTTCACTTGCACCTTGAAGGAATTTTTGCCAAGAACTTGTGACAACCCTGTCAGACTTTTTGTGACACTTGTCGGTGAAGTGTAGCATAACCACGCTTTTGCCACTGTGTGATTGTTCAGAGTGTGTGTGGCTGAAGGTAAGGGGTGCAGAGGGATGTTTTTACAGTGCATTACAACCTCTGTTTTTACTATTTCAGACTTTAGTTGTGCTGGTTGTGCATTCAATTATATTATGTGTGCGTGAGTAAATGCTAATGCAAAAATGCACCCACACTTGTTTTTTTGCTTTTTCAGTCTCACAGTGAGTACAAAAATGCTCCATCTATTAGTGGTTAATGTCTGTCAGTTCCCAGTCCTGTCAGTGGACGATTGCATTTATTCAGTGCCGACACTCGTCCCTGAGCTGTATAAGTGCCTTTGGCTGCCATATTCTTGATGGATCTGGGAGTGATGGGGCTGTGAGTGGTCTCCATGGGAGCCCATGGCCCCTGGCGAAAGCAGGGATTAGGTAGCGAAAGAGTGCTGGTGGATGCTGACAGATAAATTGCTCCTCAGTCAGAGTGGGCTGGAGAGGACCCTCTAAGGTCCCCAGAGGAAAGCTGACATTAGCCCGCCTGCCATTTGAGACACGGCAGTAATGACAGTCACAATGGCAGGAAGACGGCTCCAGCTTGCACAGGGCAAGGAGCAGAGTTAGGTTTCATCCCCATGTTTTTTTAAGAGAGACGACTCCTGGTGCTTTTGATAGGAGGTGTTGAAAGAAGGGTTGAATATCGGCAGTGTGTGTGTGCTCACATGCGATGCTTGTGGCTTTATCTCGTCACTGTTTCAGCGAGGGCACAGAACTCTCTCCTTTCAGCACTTGAAGAGAGGGGAGGAGTGGGAAAAAAAAAAACATATGAAGAATACATGGTTATGTATTTTTTCGTTGGTTGAGCTTGTTAACCTAAAACCACCTCTGTTTGTTTGAATTTCCCCTTTACTGCTGCTCTTGTCCCTGATGCGACTAATCCAGAGTTTCTTGCCTTTGCTGCTGGACTGTTTGCTCAAGAGATAAGGCAGAGCTTCTGAGCAGCTGGCTGGATAGACAGCCTGCATGGGACACTGATAAAGCACATCAGGCGAGTGTGAGAGTGACGACGCGGAGCATCTGGCTAGACTCTGCCACTCTATCGCTGGCTAAATTTAGAGCCTGGCTTATTTTGACAGTTGGTGGCGTGACTCATGATTATGTTGCGACAGGCCTGTGCTCACCTCTCTCTCTCTCTTGCTCTCTCATTTGTTCACTCCCTTTCCTGCTGTTTGTTGTGATGTCTCTCTCAAGAGTGGAGTTCAAAAGATCAGGTCACTGGCAAACTCTGTCTCTGGTAATAAAGATCGATTGCTTGTTATGTAGCTTCTAGTAAGTACACTTGTAGGATTGTTAATGGCCTAATAAATCCCTCTGTTGAGTCGTTGTAGTCTTGCAGCATTTACTATTTGATGCTGAAACTCAAAGCACAAATAGGTAGTACACTTATTGAGCTACAACAAACAAAAAAGAGTTCTCTCTCTTAAAATATAACTTTTTAAAACTTCAAATACTAGTGTTCATTAAGTCGAGCCAAATTGGCTGCCAGCCCATCCGCTCTGTGCTTCATATAACAACATCACCAATGTTTTAGATGAACCAGACATTATGCAACCATTATTTCCTTATCAAAACATCCCCGCACGAGGTCTTAGATATGTTCTAAAACAGAGAACTGGTTTTTATCAAGATCCCCCGCAGGCTTTGTCGCGATTTGATTTGTTTTTACCTCTCTCGAGTCAGAGTAAGGGATCATAAAAGTGAGTGTCTGACATGCTGGTTTGCACCTGGCAGAGTTTATGCAGCGCCCTGCTGTGTTCACCAGAAATGGATTAGAGTATAGACACTCAGTGGCTTATCACAATGGAAGCTGAAACAAGGTCAATGTTTGGACACCACCTTAACTGTCATGTGGATAAATATAGCACATCTAATCTCTGCCTGTAGATCTTTTGTGTAAGAATGTTGCCAAGAAACGGGAGCTTGGTGCATTCATCATTTAAAAAAAAAAAAGTCTACCTTGACATACAACATTTACGGCCTGAAAACAGCCACATGATATCAGACATAGTGGAGTCTGCCTTTCGTCTGAAGACTGCACTACTGTACCCCTCTTGTGCAGACCAATGCCTGCCTCTCATCAAGCGCTCCCTAATCCCATTTGGTGCAATTATCTTATCTCAGCTTCTCAATGGCAGAGATAGCATTATCCCTCTAATCGCACACAGTCTGATTGT